CTTCTCACTCCCAATATACTTAAATAAAAACTCTTATACCAAAGAGGCTAGTTAATAAAAAAAAAAAAAAAATTAATAAAAAAAATTTAAAAAATATGTAATTTTATTATTATAAAAAAATAAAAAAGAAATTTTACAAAAAAATTATATTTTTCATAAAAAATAAAAATAAAAAACTAATTAAAAAAAACAAATTTTTTTTTAAAAAAATAATCATCAGCAGGCTCATATTTTTCTTTTAGAGTAATATATTTTTTATCTAATTTAAAATATTCTGCATTAGTTTCTTCAACTTCTTTTTGTAGTTTAATAATATTTTTGATAAGAGAAAGACCTTTATTATATTTCTTAAACATACTCTTACAATTCTCTTTTAGTTTGTCATAATTATAATAGAAGTTTCTTTTGGTTCTTTTTTTATTTTTTTCTTTATTTTGAGAAGTGAAAAAATAACCATATTGATATTTTGTTCTAAGGAATTATTTTCTATTCTAAAAAAAAAACACTTTTACTAAAACGCACCTATAGTGAATTACACCTATGGTGAAAATTCACCTATAGTGAATTACACCTATGGTGAATTGCATCTATTAAACCTATTTATAATAAATAGAGCAATCAATTCTAGATTCTAACTATTAAATTTGGTTTTATTATTACGCATAAGAAAATTTTTAAGTCATGAGTAGTTTATTATACAAAATTTTACATATATACATATATACGTACATACAACTTTTAATACTATCATAAAATGTAATCGCATTAAAAAGATCTTTATATTGATAACAATTTATATGATTTATAAGAATTTATTATTGAATGCCCAACACATAATTATACAAATTCATATAATTCACTATTCACAGAAGAATAGAGATTGATATTACAATATAGTCAAGTCAACGAAATCTTAAACACCTAAATGAGTATACTGTAAAGTATAGTAAAAAAATGATTTGTTAACCATTGTACAGTATGTAAATGCTGTAATGCGAAATAATAATTGTACATATATACCATATTTTACGCATTATTAGGACATCGGGATTTGCGATGACCGTCTTTCCCACAATTTCCACAAATATAGGCATGTTTCTTTTTTTCTAAGATACAATGCAAAAAATTAACAATATATTTAAAAGTACTAATAACAAAAAAAACTATACCTTGAGTAATCGATTGTAATCTTTTCTCATTATCTATTGCACTTACAAACCCATTTTCTATTATATATTATGATGTATAAGTTGAATATTAGAATGATATTTATAAGGTTAACCAATATATCAGCCTATAGCAATAGAAAAATGTAGCTATAGAACATAATACATATAGTACTATTATCTACACTTTGCTATAGGTTCTCCTGTACATACTTACCCTTATTTTGACCTTGCTCCTGATATTGGAGTATTTGAACTTGCACATCGTGTACTTGTTTATAATCATTATTTGCTGTAGTCATTTTTTGACCATTTGCATTATTTGTAACAATTGACTCGTTGCATACACTGATGTTACTTGTTTCTTTATTATGTTGCATACTAGCTACCGTCTCATTAAATACTCTCTTTTGTGCACCTGAAGCTACCGTCCCATTAAATACTCTCTTTTGTGCACCTGATATGCTAGTGAATGAAGCTATGCGTTTATGATTTTTTCGTCCTTTCGTTCGTAACTGCGGTGGATTGTTAATTGTTTCATAAAACACATTCTTCTGATTTGATTGTGCCGCACACCCATGTTGCATCTCAAGTTGCTTTTCCATCTCTTCAATAAACTCCTGATGTAACTTATATAATTCCTTGGCATGTCCAGTCTCAATCGCCCAATTTAGAGTTTTTTTCATCAAACTGAAACCTTTTCCATAAAGAGCCCGCTTCTTCAAATGATGTCGCACTTTGGGAGTAAAAACACATTGACCACGCATTGAGTCAATAAAAGAAAAATTAACACCAATCTCATGTTCAAATACACCAAACTCTTGTCCATTCCGAATTGATATTGCACGTTCTTCATCAATTTGTTGATTTTTTTGTATTACTTGATCATTGAACCAACGCCTTGCTAAGAGTCCAATGTGAAACTGTGCTGAAGTACTTTCCAGTAAAATAGCAAAGAAATGTCGACAAAGTATGCCACGATTTATAAGCATTAGACATATGCACAAGTGACCAGCATTGCTAAGAATAACAACATAATGACATTTCTGCTGGTCTATACGTGATACTGTCCAAAGTTCTTTAATATCATTTAAATTAATAAGGTAGCTGCGCAACGCAGTTGCGCTAGAAACCAGGAACGAAAATAAAAATACTGTTGGCCTTCTCAAAA